TAGATAGATAGATAGATAGATATTTTGCATTTATTTATTATGGCAGTTTCAACCCCCCGTACTTATAGACCCCCATAGGTACTATAAATGAAATAGTCGGCTCAAATTTGATTGAGAAATGTCGGGACGACGGAAGTCACACGCTCGCAGTCCTCGGGATCTCTTGTGTGTCGGCTAGATTCAGTTTCTGACTGGAGAAACGATGTCAAGAAATACAAAAGTTACAGCAGCTGTTAAACGTGAGCTTATTTCAAACGTATTAAGGGCAAAGACAAAAGGATACATGGAAGAACTCAGCTCCTCCAGCTGTGGAGAAAAAAATAACATGTTTTACTTCACTACAAATGAAAAAAAAAATGATTGCAGAATGACATTCCAGACTTTATCCTGTTCAGCATGAAGCCAGCTGACTAAACTCTTTAAGAGTTTAACACTTGCCGGAGGATAAGCAGCTAAATCCTCACAGGGATACTGAGTAGTTACATGACATCAGTGAACGGATTATTTGGCAACACTGTTAAACTGTCAGGCAGCATGCCACGGGCTATGAAAATAATATTTTATGAGTTATGTCACAGTGGCCTTACATTAAGGAGCAACTTGTCCATGTTGGTGTCGCAGGCTGTTTTCCTCTGATCCTCGGGCATTTCATCCACCTCACCGTAGAGGTCAAAGTGCAAGCGTGCCAGCTTCTCCTGCATCTCTCTCACATGTTCCATTTGGTCAATAGAGCACTCATTGCCTAAGACAAAAACAGTCTTCAGTTATCCGTATCTATCATATCTCTCTCTAAGTGTATAGGATAATTTCTATTACTGGATATATGAAAGTCAGTGTGTGCTCTGGTAAAACGTTCCTGTTTTTAGTGAGAATTACCAAATGCCTGTAGTTTCCCTGAGTGGAAGTCGTTGAGGAGACTGAGCAGGCCATTCTCCATCTCCTGTACATCTGAAACATCTGTGAGAAAAGAGTGCTGGACGATCGGTGTTGCCTGGCCCTGGTTCTGACTAGCTTTACCACCCAAACCCTGCTGATACCTGGGTTTATCCTTCACTCCCCTAAAACAGGCGGAAGCAAATACAGGCAGAGTGAGTACAAGTCAACAACCCCAGTTCGGTTAAGGCTGGGTAAAACTGAAAAATATTGAGAGGTTAAATCATTGTAACTACACTGTTACTACCTCCTGCTCTTGTTCTTTTGGCTGGAGTGAGTCCCCGTGTAGCCAAGGTGCCGTCCTCCAGTGGAAGCGCTATTCTTCCGGCCAGAGCCACCGGACGGAGGCGCCGCGCTGGTGGAAGTCCTGGGACTCTTTCTTTTTAGCTTCCGCTCCTCCATAACTTCATGTTACGGTGCCACTTGGTGAGCTGACCGGACTGGATAGGTAAAAGACGAAAAGCTGACAGGTTGGACTGTAAATCAAAGCCCAGCCCTGTGGCTAACCGTACAGAATCAGCCTGGCAGGGCAGGCAGGCTCCGTACAAACCGATGGCTTTCGTGACTAAGCTAACGCTAGCTCAGGAGCTAGCTACTCGGCTAACCTTCAAACTTCTGACACGGCGTTTAAGCCACACAGCACAAACATAAGCCGATAGATATATTTACTCCCAGTAGCAGCTGAGAAGGGTATATGTTACTTCTGTTCGTGACAGGTTGTCCACTAGATTAAAACATTTGAAAATTCATACTAATTTCCGAATGTACCCCGCAGGTTAGGTGGCTAGCTTGCAGGTCCAAACTCTTGAAAACTTCCTGTTTTGGTAGGACGCAACGGAGCAGATTGGGGCCGAATTCCAAACCATAACGCTTCACGGCCACTATCCATAGTCAAATTACTAAGTAAAACATGCTAAATCGTGTTACACAACAACGTGGTGCCAATCAAATACAAGCAAAGCTTTATAAAAGCACAAATATACTTACTTTTGAATAAAATAATTTTTTGACCTTCTCTGTACAGTCCTCCTGAGGCCACCAGGGCTGCATTCCATTATAGTTTGATATGCTCTCACCGATTTTAGTACTATTTGTTCCTTGAATATTTACAAGACATTTAATATCATTCTTAAAATAAATTTCATTTTAAATGTACTTTATTAATTTCGAACATTTATTTTAGTTGTTATTTGTGAAGTTTTATATGTGAATGCTTGTTTTTATGCATTCAGAAAGAGGAATTTCTTCTTTCTTTCATATTATTTTTTATATTAAGCACATTTTATGTAATTATTTTAAGTATAACTCTGCAGACTCGGTTATTAATTTCGTTTGAGTGAGCTAACTATGGGTATTATAGGTAGCTTAAAACTAAACTAGACTACAAAAAAGGAAAAAATAATTGAACTGATGTGGAGAGGTTGGAAAGCTAACTAAAACAAAGTAAAAAATATAGAGGAAATATAGTTCATTTTAGTATCTGTTAGTTTGGTAAAAAATTATTACAGCTTCCTTGATGAGGCATTGATGGACATGAGTCAACTGCTTTTAAAAAGTTGTCTGTTATTATAGTAACTCTGGAGCTAACAGAGGAACATCACCAAGCAACATCTCCTCTACTTTGACTTCGGTGTAGTTGCGTAAAGCAACCACAAGAGAGCGATAGGTGAACACCTAATAATAATGCCCTGCCTTTCCCCTTTTCTTAATTAGGAATTCTTTGCTGATAAACATAATGAAAAGAGGCTCTTTGTACACTTTAATTGTGCATATTTTCACAAATATAAACGAAATTAAAAAAACCCGCTTAACTGAATTCCAGACAGACTATTCAACTTTTTATTGGCAACGCCAAATATTTTGCACTCAGTGAGCATCCGAGTGTGTGTGTGTTTAGAGGTGTGTATGCAATGCTATTCCAGTCCTAGTCTTGAATAGCTTCATTAATAGCTGATTTTATTCACTTTTACTGGAACATAATGAAGAAAAAGACTCAACAAATTCTTCTGATTTTTGGCATTTGCGATTGCATTGCTGTCCCTCACTTGTATTGACAAGCTGGCCTTTGTGTTACTCAGTAGAGAGAGAGAGAGGGAGGAAAAAAAGGTAATTCAGGAAGAGGGAAAAAACAACAACAGATAAATGCTTAATGTGAATTACAAAATGAATTTCAGTTTGCATCTAAAAACCCTAACTTCCTGCCAAAGGGGTCAAGTTAAAAGTATGACCCAATGAGGATATTTGAAATATCAGACTGTTATGTGCTCTTAAAAGATGTGTTTTTCACCCCCACCCCCTGTTAAATGGCTGGGGCTGAATTCTGTGTGACACATCAGGCAACCCGCAGATGTTTTTCTGATCTTGAGCCTCTTGATTTAAAGCTCAGGAAATGACGCACCGTAGATGCGTTGATGCAAACACAGGCTGTAGATCAACCTCGCTGACGCTAATATTCCATTCACGCACATTAACTAGATTTATTATATTTAAAACTGTAGCTCAATTGCACCATGGAAAGGCCCAGTGCGCTGTTTTAAGTCTGCTCAATCCTTCCAGCTCCTCTCCATTAGTTCCAGTTCCAACATCAACTTTCCTCATAACTGTTTTTTCACAGCGATCGATAATCAAAAAAAGTGAAACAAAATTCTCAGAATTCTGGAAAACTACCTAGCGTGGAAAATGAACTTGAGCTGGTGGGTAATTTTCTCTCTCTCCCTCTTCCCATTCCCTCCATCCTCGCTGCTCGAGTGTGTGTTTACTGCGTGACAGTGGCAGAGTGAGTTGAACCAGGATAAAACGTTACAGATGAAAACATTTAGACTGTCGCGTCCACGCAGCCATTAAGTTAGCAGATCCACACACACACACATATATGCACACACGCATGCACCTATCTCTCATCAGTAATTGCAGTGTAGGTGCTGTTTGGAGAGCTAGCTACTAGTTACAGCCAGTTCATTCTTTTCTCGTGTGCACGCCTGCTTGAATATGCATTGGATTGTAAATGAATGACAACTCGTTTAATTACACGCTCGCTCTTATTCCTAATTCTAAGTTAGCAGGTCTTTTTTCCCCGATGTGGCGTTATTCGGGAATTCTGTCAGACAGACTGTCCCTATTAAAGGCTACAGTCTGGGATTGCAACAGATTTCAGTTAAGCTGATATGTGACTGCGTTTAATAAGAAGAGCTACACAACCTCATTTCAGTTATCCGTGTTTTATGAAGTTATTACTTCACTAAAATAAAAAGTCTCTCTCTTTTTTTCCTCCGAGGACCTGACCCATAATCAATGCAGAATATACACTGATGTTATATCAATCAGGAATAAAAGCATGAAGGACGTTCTGTTGTTTGTATTCATGCTCCGCGCACATCCGTGTTCGATACTGCATGTCCCCCAATGTGACAGGACACACATGAGACTTGTAAGCAAGACACTTTGTGTGTGTGTTTTCATTCCTGCAGCTGTAACCCAAAATAAGGCGTTTTAAAAAAAACAAATGTCTTCATTAATACAGACACACTTGACCCAAGTGTTTTCTATTAAAAAAAGATGAAATTTATATCGTTCTTGGTCTAGTGTATGAATAAATGTTCTGTGTGTGAGGGAGCTGGACATCTCGTCCTTGTCTTCTATTTGTCTTCCATACAAGGACAGGGATCAACGTGCACACAGTCACATAAACAACACGTGCAGTCTGGGATTGGCTGAGAGGAACGAGGAAGAGATAAGAAATGAGAATTTCTTAAAAAGTAATTTTTTTTCAGTTTTCTTCAGTAGAAATATTAAAGCACTGTGGATGTGATGCTGAGTATCCCATCACTTGGAATCACTTACACACTAAAAAGGATCAAAACAGGGACTAATCAGGCAAAAAAAAAATGGCTTTAAACTGTTCTCAACATGTCTGCGATGTATGTATGGAAGACGATTAGAGCCGCTGAAAATAATATGGCTCATGATCCCCCCCCCCCCATTATTCTGACTTTAATCTCAGAATTCTGGCTTTTCTTTCTTTTTCTTTTTTTTTTACATAGTTCTGATTCTTTTAAAAGTCAGAATTCTGACTTCAGTCTCTGGATTCTGAATTTCTTTAATAGTTCTGAGAAAAAACAATTGTAATTATAGATTAAAGAAACATTTCAGGGAAAAAAATGGCTAATCTCAGAATTTAGCCTTTTTTTCTAGTTTGGAGAAAATATATTATTAAAGTGGAATCGGGGGGGTTCAGAATTAATTTTTCCACTCAGAATTCTCAATCAAGGGATGACCTAAATATTATATATGTATTTTTTGTTTGTATTTCAGTGGCTGTAATCCTCTTCTGTACATATGAGGTCAGGCATTAATGCTGGTAGTAACCTCATGCCCTATTTTTTTATTGTACTCTCCTGCTACATCGAATAATACAAATAATAATAATAATAATGATAAATACATTTTTTACTGAGTAAGCGATAATTTCAGAAACATGTTGATTAATCTTGGTCAGTAAGGATGTAAAAGCAAGCTCAAACACCTGACACATGAGTGTTAACTACCAAAATATGAGCTTTAAGAAAAGATTTTGAAACCAAATGTGTTAAAGTTGAGACAGAATCGATTTTTATCCGTCGATTTTTCACAAAGATGCACAGGCAGTTTAAACAGTATGTTCGAGTTTCAGAAAATTGTTCATTTTGAGTGATTGTTTATGTGTATTATATTTGTGCATATTGGACAACATACATGGATACGGATGTATGTGTGATAGCAACAGGCCCTTCAGCTGCATTAGCGTGTAACAATTAAAAAACAATCATTGGAAAAAGCTCTAGGTGAGAAATCAGTTCAAGGACTTATTAAAACCGATCAGATAAAAGATAATTGATTTTATTAAGAACTTATCAAAATAAACTCTGAACATCTAAATGGTCTAAAACCAGCTTTGTGATGTATATTAGTAATAAAGAGGTGTTCATTTTTGTTCACATAACTAGAATCCTCATATACTGGACTAAAGATGTAAGAGGAAGGTCCTGGAAAGAGAATTTTGGATCTAAAAGACTGCAGTTAAATGCCTTATGTAGGAGGTGCTGACTGTAAAATGTTGCTCCAAAAGTCTCTAATATTTAATATTTCATTTATTTATTATATAAGTCAATCAGGATCTCACTAATTCCACCCAATTTTCATCTGAGACACTTTGGTCATGCCGCATATCCTGGTATCTCCTCCTAAACTTCCGTCTCCCCCTGATTGAGTTCTTCCCCCTCTCCTCCTTCCTCTTCTTCCCTCCCTCCCCCCTCTACCCACTGGCCTCTTCCTGTCCTCCTCTCACCACTCTGTAGAGGGTCCAAGTGACATTTGGCTGTCCCCTGCCTCGAGGGGGTCCAGGAGATGCAGACGTTTTTGGCAGGCAGGCACAGGGAAGCCTAGGGGTCCTGACGGGGACTCCTGGACTAAGAAGAGAAAAAAAGTACACATCATAAAATGCACCCACAGTCAGGAACACACATACGCACTTGGGGTGCACATGCAAAAGCTAGCTAATGCGCAAACAGGAGAGAGCTGACACGTGTTAATGTGTATGCACACTCGTGCACCCACCCATCAAAAACATGTAATGAAGGCACAGTGGATGGTAAATGTGAGAAGGCGAGGGAAGCTGCCCCCTGGGATTTGAACTGTTAAACTACTGAGTTTTCCCAACTGCTTCCATTCCCTGTCTTAGTTAGGATTAGATCCTTATTTAACAAGGCCTGTATGCTGGTAGTTATATGGGATATGTGATAAAACAAGGACATTTCTGCCTAACTATGTTTTTATCCAAGTGCCAAACATACTTTGATATGAAGATACATTTATTTACGAT